CCCGCAACCCCAGCTAACCATCAGTCCTATGGGGCACCGTCTGTGGTGGTCTATTGGCTCTTCGAGGCGCGCACGGAATGCTACGCGCCGTACGCTCGGGTCTGGTTCTGGTCAGGCGGCCAGCTACCCTTTCTCGCCGTCCGCAGACCCGCTTACGATGGCCGGAGATCATCTCTCGATCCCCGACGCCCGGAATGTCGCCTTCTGCGGCAGCTGGGGCGCGAGGAGAATAGTTCCCTCGCGCGCTCTGCCTCCTCCTTTGCGAGCATAACTGCTTCGCAGAAGGAGGAGATAGCTTCCCAGTTTCTCTCGCTATAAAACGTAGTCCTAAATAAGCATTTTCTTTTGTATTGAATGCGTTTCAAAATATACAGTTTTACATACATATATACTTAACACAAAGATTGGAACTACAATTTTTCGATTACCCAGAGTTATTTTAATTCAAGAAGGCCCAATCCTTCCTCTTTTTGTCCTTGATTGGCAAGTCATATGGCGGTTTCGACGACTTACGATCTTGATCTGTCTTATTGTTGCCTTTCCCCATAAAAAAGGGTTTTCATTAAAAGATATGGTGATTCCTAAGAAAGATTTATGAATAATGTGTATTATCACATCATCAGTCTAAAAACGTCCACTACTGAGCAAAATAATTCTCACACCGAAGAAGGAGTAGCATTGAAAATCACGTTTGCTCAAAGCTGATCGGTGATTTTAAACTTATAATTAGGTATTATAAGTCTAGGTTTCCTCATGATTTATCCTTCACCGTACATCTGTAGTGTCTTTTTTTTGTCAGGGGAAAATCAACAAATGAGGGCCGCCCAGGGTAAGGCGAGAGACAGTGTCAAACTGTTCTGACTAAGAACGTCCCCGTTCCTCCTCCTGCTCTGGGCTGAGGCTGCGGTGACTCATTGCGCTTAGCCCGCAACCCCGGCTGCACGTCTGTAGTGTCTAAAGATTCTAGAAAGTACACGTAATTCCCATTGTTATATGCCAGGTTTTGAACTTGCACACTCATGCATGAGAAGCGGGCGCCTTAACCTCTGTGACGCCACGACGACATTTCATTAATAGATAGAATGATTTATAGGGAAGATTTGGTCAAAAAGCTAATATTAAAAAACTATAAAAACAATTCTAGCGTGGTCGTCTAGGTACATAGGTTTCTAGCATAAATGTGCGGTTAGCTCAGCCGCAGTACAAGGCCGATGGTTCAATGCACAGTGTTAGCTTACATGAGATATAAGACAGGTGTTCCATTACGGGTCATTGAGGAATTTGGGGTAGGCAGATATCTAGGTTCACTGGAGTTTTTTGGTGGAAATAAAATTTAGGTGACAGGGTTTTTAAGAAAAAAAAATGGATATAGGAACGACTTGCATGCTCTAAAATTGGACAAGAACGAATTAATAACTATATTTATTTATTTATTCTTTTGATGCAAATATATATCGGAGGACTTAATCCTAAAATCATTTTCTGCCAGCTATCCTATTGGTAGTGAAGATATTTATGAGGTTTTATGAGGAGATCGTACGCAGCAATTTAGGAACTTGTGGGAAATGGACTGTAGAGTAACTACACTTAGATATTTTTGACTTTCAAATAAAAAATACTGAATGAATCTAAATGAAATTTGGCGTAGAAATAGATTATAGTATGTTATTACACATAGGATACTTACCACCATTGCTATCTTCTGCGGGTGAGTCGTCTTGCAGATACTAGACATTTACAAAAAATAATTAAATGCCTTTTCAGGTGTGTCACACTTACTGACTACAAACCACCGGTTAGGTACCTTATTACGCTTGACTCGTCACCCTGGCCCCGGCTAAACATTGACCCTAATGGGCCCATGTGGTGGCTAAACTAGCCACCTAAAGTTGATAAAGCCACAGCATCAAAAGTCAAAAAAGTCATCCTCATAATCGGACAGCTAATCCAACCCAAGCTTTTTTTTGCAGCAGAATGTTTTTATCAAAAGTAAAATTACAACAAGGAGAAACACTAATCTTTGTATTGAACCTATCGTATTAGAAGAATGAGTAACACTATTAGATTCCAGCGTATTACAGAGGTCGATCGATTACTAGAATACAGACAGAAACCAGACGCCATGATTAAAACGCTGCTATCACCGAACTGATCTAGCGAATTGTTTGTTTGTTTTTTTATTCTTTCTTGTAATTCTTTGAATTACACGCAGATAGATATTAAGATTGATTACGTGGAACGGTGATTATACTAGGGTAAGTTTCAATTCAAGAATCATTTAAGCCTATGTAGGTACCGATTTTAATAAAACTTGGTACCTAGGTACTTATACTAAGTAGATATTACATATTTCCGAAATATTCATTAGATAACTGAGCAGTTATTCGCGATTTTATGTTCGGAACTTTAAAATTGTTTCTCCATTTTTTCTGTAGTTTTGAAACCTTGATATATTAGGTACATCATCATCATCATCATCATCATCAGCCCTTTTCAGTCCACTGCTGGACATAGGCCTCTCCTATTGCACGCCACTGGGATCGATCTTCGGCCACTCGCATCCAGCTCCTGCCAGCCATCTTGCGCAAATCATCACTCCACCTTGCCTGAGGACGTCCTACATTACGTTTGCCGAGACGCGGTCTCCACTCAAGAACTCGTCTACTCCAACGGTCATCGGTTCTTCGGCTAATATGGCCAGCCCACTGCCATTTCAGCTTGCTAATCCGGTGGGCTATGTCGATTACCTTGGTTCTCTGCCGGATCACCTCGTTTTAGGTACATACGATTTTTTAAGTATATAGTCTTATGATTTTTACTTGAAATAAGTTTTTTTTATGTAATTTTGGGATTTGTCAAATTTTTACACTGTGAAATAGTCCATTAAGTAGGTATATAGTATATCAAAAACATATACAATCAGCGTTTTGTTTCGCCGTATGAGTGAGGTTACCGAAGACCCAATCCCTCCCCCTTCCCCCATCTTTTTTCAATCCTTAAATACCCGAAACCCTTATCCCTAAAAGGCCGGCAACGCACTCGTAACTACTTTGATGTTTCATGTTGCACGGGCGGCGTTAATTGCTTACCATCAGGTAATCCGTGGGCTCGTTTGCAGACATACACTATAATAACAAATACAACAAAATTAACTTAATAAAACTTGAATAGTAAGTCGCATCCGTCCCCCCTACCGCTTTTAATTAACCCCAAAAAATTGTTGCACTGTCCTTCGAAATCTTCGAATCGATTCAAAACGATTATAGTGACGATGCCTTTATGACAAAACGATTTTATCATAAATATCAATTTGCACTAGCACCACTGTTTATTTTATCGGGCAATTAATTAAAATGGAAATTACGGTTCGGTATACGGAAATATGGTTACAATTTATACCTTATTAGCGAAGAAATATATGCGTTTTGTCCAACATAATATGATTCAATTTATAATGTTCATACTCTACAAAGTAAGTGTTTGTTTGGTTTAACGGTGAACAAAGAAAATTGTTATTTAAAATTAGTCTTATTTTATTATAACCCCTTTATTATTTTATTTTATAATAAAAACTAGCTTTTGCCCGCGACTTCGTCCGCGTTTTGTTTGTTTATCATAAAAAAGTAGCATATTCCCCGTTCCTTCTCCTGTTCTGTGCCGAGGCTACGGTGCCTCATTGTGCTTGCAACGCCAACAGGGCCCCGTCTGATATGGTCTAGAGGCTCTTTGAGGCTCGCGCGGAAGGCTACGCGCTGTACACTTGGGTCTGGCGGATGCCTACTTCATAACATCTACCTGCATGCCAAATTTCAGTCCGATCCGTCCAGCGGTTTGGGCTGTGCGTTGATAGATCACTATATCAGCCACCTTTGAGTTTTATATATTTAGAAATATTATTTAAAGCTAGTAGCTATTGGCAGGACTATTATGTAGGTGTAGAATTTATTACAAAGAAAAAATCACGACTGTTTTAGTCACCCGTGTTTTAACTGTTTCTTGTCTTCGATTTCTCCGCGACGCGAACGCTTCTCATGTATAAGGGTCCCATTGTAATTTGAAACTAGTAGAGCTTTCTTAGTTAATTAACGTGAATAAGTCGTTATTTTCAGTAAAATGTGTATGTCTCACCATAGTACTATTAAATACGCGTCGAATACCGTCGATAACCGACTTAAAAAAAGGAGAACCGGTTAAAAATAAGGGTTCCTAGTTGGCTACGGAACCCTAAAAACGATCATTATTAAAGTTAAAAATACGAATTTTGATTAACGAATAGTTCGTCAATCTGTCCGTCTGTGATAATTGTGAGTTCTTTATTTATTTGCGACCATTATAATATTATCAACAAGAAAATTTTTCTTAAAGCTCATTATATACAAAAAATAAAAACTTATTCAAATCAACAACTAAATGTAGCGACATCTATCAAACAACTAGAGCGGTTTATAGCCGCCCGCCCAGTTAACACCATAAGATAACCAGTAGCCGCCCGCCCTCTGAAATAGTTCAGAGAAAATCCGCCAGATGTCGATTGATGTATGTTGTTATGTTCATCTGGAAATGGCTTCAAGACAACATTGCTAGCATTATATTTCTTTTGAAATCTAAATTATTAGATGAAATTGTTTTATCATAAATAATGTATTGTATGTAATTAATATCCGTCAAGGGCAAATTGCCTTTAGAAATATTTTGAGGGGTTCGGAATACTATGTATTCTTTTTTTTCAAATAGTCAGCGGCAGAGAAAAAAATCCTAATCGTCTAATGTAGCTGTCAGTGCATCAGCTATCCCTCTCTGATAAATTTAGAAATTCGAATCGCAACCTTCATTTGTTTTTATGACACAACAAAATTAAATCATTCCTTGCAATACCTACGTAACGTTGGAATAACACAGTAGTGATCGTTCCCACTTTGTCAGCACAATATAAACAATATTTTATCACCTAACCAAAGTCCAGAGGCACGATACTAAGATACACGTTATTATTGTTGCAGCGCGAGTGACGCGGGCGCATTATGCGCGGGGTCACGTGACGACCCATGGCGTCAGACGCGCGCCCCAGCGAGCCCGCAGATGGCGCCAGGAGGCGACGAGAGTACTCCAGGTGACAATGAATCTGAATATCCTTCTCTTAGACAGTAAGTAACAAGGAATCAAAAAGAAAAATGATAATTTAGTTAATAAGTTTATTATTGGAAAATATTTATAGAGTCTGGAATATTTTCAAACATCACCCACAGCAACCGACCACGAAAATTGTAAACATTGCTACGAGGTCGCTGTGTCGCCAAATCGCCAACGTTCGACTATTTATAGGCGACGCGTCTTCCGTCTGTCTGTCCGACACCTGCTCTTACCCAGACGCTTACTAATGTTTGCACTACATCGTCAGTATGTGGATCTTTTAACGTGCAACTGTCAATTATATCGGGTGTTAGTTGCTTCAAAGCAGCAGCTCGGACGAGAGTCATCTGCTCCGATATAACTGTTGAACCGTTGCGGAGTGGGTCGCGGGGAATCCTCCCGGAATTCAGCGGCGAGTCGCGGGGAAGCTCGCGCACTCTAAATCGGTCGCACTTGCCGCCAAGCTTTTCGGCGAGCCGCGCGCGCTGTCGTTCTCGCATCTAAATATATCGGCGTCGTGTGCGCAGGTCCCCGTACGTGACGCTGGGCGCGGTGCGGTACGCTGTCCGCCGTGCACCGCCGCCGCGGGCTTGCCCCTGCCGCTGCTGCTCTGAGGAGGCGGTGGCGGCGTGCCTCGGCCGCGCCAAGCCCGATCGACGCACGCTGGATCGTATCCAACGGCGGCTGGGCCGCGGCTCGCGCGACGAGCGGCCCTCGCGCCAGCAGCGCCTGCAGGCCCTCACCGAGCGGCTGCTGCCGCGCCCGCACCCCACGCCGCCCCCACCGCCACCACCGCCACCGCCACACTCAGCGCCGGTGTTGCCACCGGTGCCGCCACCACGCTCCCGACATCGACACAGCCCACCGCGCGGTGCGTCGGTGGATCGGTGTGATGACTTCGACACGGATAAAATCACCCTTGTTCGCGTAGAGCCTCGCTCTATCGTGGGATCCTATGCACAAAAAACTATACCGTATCGTAGTGCCTCTTTTTCGCAAGGTGATTTTGCACAAGATAAATATTATCGGCCCAATAGAAATCCATCAATTTTTGATTTCGGTAAACGACCTGCAAAATCGGTGTCTGAGTGCGCGAGTGTAAAACGTCGCGATGCCGAAACCGTAAGTCTCACAACCGATGAAAATACAACAGAAGGCGGGTCAGTGGCGTCGGTTGACTCCGCAGTAGGTTCTGACGAGGGTTTACTCGCGCACGCGTCGCCTGCACCGAGATCTCCGCCGCCAGATGCTCCGCACAAGCAGCTGAGTGCTCGCTCGTTGACGCACCCGCTGCCGCGACGAATCCCTCCTGTGCGGGAGGAGGGCCCGGTAGAAGCTGGTGGTAGTTTGCCAGCATTGATGGCACCGCGTGTCTTACATGAACTCCGTGAAGAAAGTGATGGCTCGCAAGCCGACAGTGCACAAGCGCATAGTGAAGGTACTTCACCGCTAGAACCCCAGCCTTTTGCTTTCCCTCCTCTCCCTGAACCCCCTACAAATGCTTGTGCTAATGTAGACTGTGATTGTACGAATTTTCCTAATACGATAGAAGAGTGTCCGGAAGAAAATCTTATACCTGTGCCTGTGTATGAGTGTATAGTGAAACAGTGGTCAAAGGAGTTACCGCAGGAGGAGCCACAGCGGTCAGATGCCGCGTCTGATGGGTCCTTGGATCGAGATAAGGAAGATGAAACCATAACTAGTGAACAGGTTGCCCACTTACTGGCTGCGGTGCAGAATCCTTGCACGCCCGCTCCCATTGGTGCTAGAGAAAGACGAAGACCTCTTGATAAAACAAAGAGAAGGAAAGGAATTTACATTACTACGCCGAGTGACGATGGTGGAGAAGAAGAAGGCCCGCCTTCAGTGAACGGGTGCAAACGTGAGAGTAGTGAGGCTTCACTACAAGATATGCGTCTATCAGCTGAAACGCGAACTTCATCACTACTCGGTGATAAATCAGATGACTCATGTACTAACGGTCCTCCGAGTCCGTGTGAGGGAGCAGCACCAATGTGGCCCAGGTCCGAAGAGTTAAAAGCGAGGCGCGCAAGGTTTTACCAACAAAGTTCAGATGAAAGAGATGACGACTCATTCCGAACGAGACGGAAATATGGCGACTCACCTTCTGAAGTAGACAGTGACACGTGCTCTAGAGACAGGACAGCGTCGCCATCTCCATTCAGTCCATCTGATACTTCAGATGTAGAAGTAAGGCGACAGCAATTTACCAGAGGACCATATGGTAAAAACTTGGAGGCCCCATGCACTCGGTCAGTCGAAGTGGGCAGGAGAAGTTTGTCTGACGCTACAGTGCCTTGTCGCAAAACTAGTGTCGGGGCCATGACATCAACACGGCCCACGGGTAGGGGCCCGACCCACGTCAGAGCTACCTCATCGCCTTCCAAGTTGGTTGGAGTGAAGCCTGGAGCTGACTTGCTGGCCGAGCTGCTCCGAGGCAGCTCTGAAGCTCTCTCAAACTCGTCCACATTCGACAACGTGGTATTGACGCTACATCAACACAATGTGAGTACTTTTAAAACATCCTTTGTAGTTGCTATTGACCCCGATTACATCCGCAAAAAGAGCAACAAAGTGAAACGCTGCAAATTCTGTTATGATGTTTATCTCAGCAGAAAATAGCTTAAGAACAAACGATCTTGTGTTATTGCCAAAGTTTATTTGAGTTTATACACTGAAATTTTTGTCAGTAGTGCGAAGGAATGCTAGTAGAATATACAATTTCGGTCGCAGTTTTCGTTAATCCGCGATCATATTCATGGTCGTGTTGTATATAAATATAGTATTCGTATTCCCCGGCGTTCCTCGGGCCAATGTCGCGTGAATCATGCAACAGCTGTTCCAGGGGCATTAAAAATCGTAAGGGCAATCGTGTTTATTTTAAATCACTGTCACTAAACTCGAGATTAATCGTTAAGGACGGGTGCACAAATGTGCGCTCAGAATATTGGCCAGTTCCAATTTGAGACGACAACGTATCTTGTTTGTTTTCCTCTCTAATTGTCGCTATGGTCTTTCGGTTCAGATCAACGGTTCCTCGAAGTACGTTTCGGTTTTGACAAATGTATCTAATCCTAATTAAAAAAAGGAAACCTATTGTTAAATTTTTAAAATCTCTGAGGTCTAAAAATACTTTTTGGTCAATTTATTTTATTTTCATTAGGGGATTTGAGTTTATAACGTTAAACAGCTGAAGAAAACTGCTTAGATATTATTATCATAGATACTCCTGACGCAATTTGGTATATTATGAACACAGATAAGTGGAAAGTTGATTTCAACAGCATCGGAAATGCCATGCCTTAAAAAATCTCAGCAGCAGATTCACTTAAAATAATTATAAACACAAATGATGAAATGTTAGATGGTAGTACTTACAAATCGAAGCCTAGTAACATCTAGCTCGCAAACAGTTACGTAGGAATTGAACATCAATTGACTACGTAAGAACATTCCCACCATCAAACTCGTGATGCTGAAATGTTTATAAGAAAAGTCAAAGATGTATTTGAAAACAACAGTAATTTGGAAAGGAATTTTGACATGGAATGCACTGAATGTATTTGCATTCAGTGAAACGGTTGATGCTTAAACATGTCATGTGGAAATTGGTTTGGTTTAGAATATGATTTTGATGTGTGACGGTGACTGGCGCCTCTAGAGGTTTGCAGTAATAGAAAAATCTCGTACACGATACATATATGAGGAGCTTTTTTTTTAAGCAATAGTTCGGCAAACGAGCAGACGGATTACCTGATGGTAAGCAATCAGCGCCGCCCATGGACACCCGCAACGGAGGAGTTACGAGTGCGTTGCTGAACTTTTAGGGATTAGGGATTTGGAGATTTAGGGATTGAGGAGGGATTGGGGGCGGGGAAGGATTGGGCCTCCGGTAACCTCACTCACACGGCGAAACACAACACTGTGCTTGTTTCACGCCGGTCTTCTGTGAGGCCGTGGTATCACTCCGGTCGAGCCGACCCATTCGTGCCAAAGCATGGCTCTACCACACTTGAAGCTTCTTTTAAACTAAAAATATCTTATTGATTATTTCTCTCGCAGTGAGCATCCACAGATTAGTCTTTAAGAGGATAAATATCTTTTTAATGAACTAACTAGGAAGGTCTTAAATGATTACCGCCTTTGGTATAAAAGCACGTTCCCCGGCTTAGGGCTTCGTTACCCCTATGAGGGATTGTTAGATAAGACTAGGTCTTTTTAATTATTTATTTTGTTGTGTAAGGTGCATCGCCTACGTTTTGGCATTTTTTTGTAAAAACTTTACTTTAGTCTGGGATTTGGTCCTGTTTTGTGGGTACATGTATATAATTTCATATACACATCTGAAACAGATCCAGAATAAAAATTTGTGGAATATATTTATGTACTGATTTGTTTTGTGTTGGTAATCGAATTCGCGACACATTGCACAGCAGTAGGCGATTCACGAGCCACTGCAATAACCACCCAGTAAGCGGATTATTGACTATAATTATTATTTTGTCTTGTCGTGGTGGCCTAGAGGTTAAGGAGCCCGCTTCTCATGCTTGATGGTGTGGGTTTGAAACCTGACAAGTACTAATGTGACTTTTTTTGAGTTATATGCACTTTCTATGATTATTTAGACACCACTGACATACGGTGAATGTAAACATCGTGAGGAAACGTGGACTTATAATTTATAATTATAAGTTTGAAATCGCCAACCCGCATTGAGCAAGCGTGGTGATTAATCTAACCTTCTCCGTATGAGAAGAGGCCTTTGCTCAGCAGTGGGCACTTATAGGCGGATGATGATGATGATTGATTATTATTTTGCATTATTGTATATTTTGCTTTCTAATATTTATTTCCTATACCTTAGGGGATCTAGTATAGAATCTATATTGAGGTATTATAAGCCGCTGCAAATTGTGACCACGTTTTTGAACGTAGTTTTTTTATCATTAAGTCGCTAATTAAGATTAAGGCTATATACAATACCGCCAACGTATCTTGGCGAGTCTGAAGTTAGCCGATTAGCTGCGCAGTACACAATTTTGTTCCTAAAAGATCCATTGCGCTGACAAACGGCTAACTTCAGACTGGCCAAGATATGTAGGCCGTACTGTATGTATATGACCACATCATCCGTCTCAAACACAATAAAGTCTAAAAAACCGTTTTATAATCGAAAGTTGTTTAATATTAATTTATAAAAAATAACACCTTAAATGTTATTATTGTTGCTCTCGCCCAATCCAAATAGATTAACGATTCCAATAAAATAAGTACATAAATAGTATTATTGCTTTTTAACACGTAATATGGCAGTTAATGGCGCGCTGTTTTTCATACAATTTCGAAGTCAAAAACGATGGAAACTATTACTCTGATTTCAACGAAATTTGGTCCTTATACGCAATTTGTATATTAAAGATTAAAACAATATTTCAGTGAACAGACTTATGTTATAGGTCGGCAAACGAGCATACTGATAACCTGATGGTAAGCAATCGGCTCCACCCATGGACACCCGCAACAACAGAGGAGTTCGAGTGCATTGCCTGATTGTTACCTTTACCTTTTGAGGACAAAGGATTTGGAGATTTAAGGATTGGGGGAGGGGAAGGATTGCGCCTCCGGTAGCCTTACTCACACGGTGAAACACAACGCTATGGTTCTTTCACGCCGGTTTTCTGTGAGGCCGTGGTATCATTCCGGTCGAGCTGATCTATTCGTGCCCAATCTTGGCTTACCCACACTTAAGTTTGTTGAGTACATCTATATCTATACTAATATTATAAAGGGGTAAAATTTGTAAGTTTGTATGTAGAGAGTAATCCTTGGAACCGCCGCCGGTAGGATTGCTAAAATTCTTTCACTGATAGATAGCTACAATGTTCCTGAGTGCTACTCGTAAAGGCTATAAAACATCACACTACGATTAAATGGAGCCGAGCAGAGGGTGAAACAGCGCGAGATTAGCTAGTAGAATATAAAAACTTACAAGTTCGCTAAAATCTATTTGGAAAATGTTTGTTTTTGTCAATCGCTTTGCAGTAACCATTACAAGTAGGTAACTAAGTCCTTATTTACTAGGCGATTAAGTACATAAACACTAGCGCACAATTTCCCCGATAATACCCTACTAACGAAGTTTAAAAGAAAATATGATTTTCACTGAAATTCCAAGCTGGAAGTTCCTATAATAATGTAATACTTAATACTTGGGGAAAATTGAATTTCCGTGCAAAACTGTGATCGAAGAACACGACTATGTTAGTGATGAGGTATTAAAACCCTTGTAGTTTTTGTAATAAGGTTTAATTTTGTCCGCCATGTGTGTTTGCTAGTGTGTGGTGGTTGTTTTGCAAGAGTTGTTGGGGTCAAACACGAAAACTGAGTACCAAGGGTTCTGGATTCCCTGGATAGGAGAAACAATTTTCGTGCATCATCATCGTCATCATCATCACCAGCCCATAAGTGGCCAGTGCTGAGCAAAGGCCTCTTCTCAAAAGGAGAAAGCTTGAGCATTAATCACCACGTTCGCTCAATGCGGGTTGGCGATTATAAACTTATAATTAGAAATTATAAGTCCCGGTTTCCTCACGATGTTTACCTTCACCGTATGTCAGTGGTGTCTCAATTGCATAAGGTTTGGAATTGGCTTAGATTAGGCTTAGTTGTGGAGTGCGCCAGGAACGCCACTAATGCAGAAAAGTGAAAAGTAATGGCGAGGGTAGTAAGGACGTTGTCCAGTCTAGGTTGCCGATATGAGACAGGGTGGTTTAGACTTAGTAAGAGTTTCGCTGCACCCAAGGCACGATGGAGTTGAGTTTGATTTTCCCCCTCGCTATCCTTAATAAAGCCCCTAAGCACATTCCATGATCACTACCACTCTATCGAGACTACATAGGTATTTTTCTATACTAATATTATAGAGAGGTAAAATTTGTAAGTTTGTATGTAGGGGGTAATCTTTGGAACCGCTGGTCGGATTGCCAAAATTCTTTCACTAATAGATAGCTACAATGTTCCTTAGTGCTATAGGCTATAAAACATCACGCTACGATCCAATGGAGCCGAGCAGCGGGTGAAACCGCGCGAGAATAGCTAGTAAGAAATAAAGAAGCAAGCTTAGTGTCCCTAATAGTACAGAATTTGTAAATGTGGAAACTTAAGAGAATTATTTAATTATAAGATAATTTGATGATGTTTATTTTAACATACTCTGACGATGAATTGAGTCGTGATACCATGGTATGAATAGATATTATATTGAGATATTATGCACCAAAATATTGAGCAATCATTAAGCAAGAAAAATAAGACGGTCAATTAATTAGCGAAGCTTTAAATGGTAACATTTCTTTTTAATAAACACGCCAGGATGGCGCCACTATACGACTTTATTTAAGCGGGAATGATAAGTCTTGTACACTTTCTATTTTTTATTTTTATTTAATTGTATTGATTCATATTAATTTGAGTGATTTGATCATTTATTTTAGTTCATTATTTTA